ATGGTTGCATCGAATGACGCTGAACATCAAGAACCTCAAGACGGCATCCCAGTCGAGCCGGGCGAGAACAATGAAGCCAAAGNAGACCATGAAGAAGGCTACTCGACTCAGTTCTCGCCACAGCCTGACAAGGCTGGAGTTTGCTCGCGCAGACCATCAAAGAGCCTCCGAAAATCCTTCTCGAAAATACGAGTGGCTCTCGGCGAAGGTCCCTCCAGTAATAACGAGATCCATCCGGCTCGTCGAGATTGAACTTTTTTTCATCAGAGAAGATCACCTAAGAACAAAATGGGTGCAACACGTTGGTTGTTCTAAAATAGGAAAGTCCTGAAAATTCTTGAACAACTGTACCTTGTTTCATGATGTTGCCATGTTCCTACGAGCACCTTAGGAAATACCAAACTTTAAGCAACATCTTTTTGCTACTCAGCAACACCAATATATATATACAATCCATATCAAATAACAAAACATTCGCATGCCTAGACGATGAAATACGATTCAGCTACGCTTGGGCATCCAATCCTTCAACTTTCAATGCATCAAATCAATGCAGTATTACAGACACTTGCAAGTGTAGCCCAGCCGACAACACAGTATCCTGTTACTGCACAGACAATGATATTCGCCGAATATATCGCTTGTCAGATACACTACCACTCCTATTACCAAACGGAATCGTTCTAAGCGGACCCAAGAGCATACCAAATATTCACTTAAAGGCCTTCTCAATCGAATTACCTCCGAGATGACTGCAATCCAACTTCAGCAACAAAATACTCAAATTCAATTGTAACGAAGTACATAAACCACTTAAGGGCTGTTACAATTGTTACAAAGGGGCAGAGGCTATTTTGGACTACACAGCAGATGTCCCTCAGGCAACCGTACAAGTAACGCGCGGGGTACGCCAATTCGCGCTTGAATGTACACGAGACGGACATGAAAACCACGTCAAACTGTTTTTCAACAGAGCGCGAGTGGAAGAGCAATGCCGCGTTCAGTGCGGCTCCCAGACAACAGTCTTGGAACTTCAAGGAACTCCCAGCTACAACAATGGGTCAAGAACACTTCAAAAATACACAAAAAAGGGGAAACAGAAAAGAATGAAGAGAACGAGATTCTCCATATTGACTGGATTCCCAGATATATAGCATTTTTTTCTAAATTTGCAAGCAGTTCTATATTTACACGATCATTGTCCTCGTTGCGTTCCCAAGCTTTGCGATTATGAGCATCGCATATCTCTGCGCAGAGAATGCAAAAATGTCGACAACGACCTCAGCAGCCTCACCATACACATTTATGAGCCTTCCGCTGGCTCAGTCTGTTTCTGTTTCCAGAATTTTTCTCAAGATTTTCAAATTTATTATCCGAATCTCACTGCGTTCTATTCGACCTTTTTATCGGGTTTGCAGTCAATAGACAGTTCCTTCTTCATTATAGTTAGAATACTTACTCATTTCAAATAATATTGTCAATCACCATCAATTCAATGTATATTGTATTATTTCGCGGTACCTCTTTTTCATATTCTATAACACAGAATGATTTCACCGTTCCAGATAAGATATGGTTGCATCGAATGACGCTGAACATCAAGAACCTCATCCCAGTCGAGCCGGGCGAGAACAATGAAGCCAAAGGGATGAAAGTGAGAGCATCGAATTAATGCATAGAAAGCTTAACAGAATAATAGGAGGGACGGATGTGATCCAGTCCATCAAAAACAGGATGGGCAGCATATCAAAATCGACAAATCCGTCCAAAAAAGAAAAATTCGACAATCAATTGAAGGCGCATTCAAAAACTTTTAAAAAGGCACGACCTTACGAGGGGCTACTCCACATCGTGGACCAGCGCACAATAGGAAAGAAGGATATATTAGACCGCACAGATCGGAATAAGTGTAACATCAACAAAGAACAGTTCTTAACGAGCTTCGAAAACAAGTAGACTTCCTGCAAGCTCGCCACCCAGGCTCTACGCTCCGCATCACCACAACCTGGTCCTAGCGGAGCCGAGGGCCCATATCAACGCTTTCGGTGCGCCTCGACGATCATAACGCATGCCACTGTAAGGCTTATAAAACCTTGGGCGAGCACAAACTGAGGGCCTTTGACAGGAATCGTTGCGAACGATGCCTCAAAAGGACGGACTACATGGCAACCTCTTGCCCGGATCCAAGTTTCGCTACTATTGCAGGGGTGCGAAGAAGGGCGAGAGTCATCATAGCGCTTTTTGCCCCTTTAAATTTCCAATGTAACTCAAATTATTTCAATTTTGCTTTATTTCAATTTTCAACTGGTCAATTCTCAAAATCAATCGTGTTCAACTCTGATTATATGTATTGTTAGTCAATTTCATCAAACTGTCAATGCATCTCAATTCTCTCGATGCGTTTCAATTTTGTCTCAATTTTCTCAATCGATTTTCTCAGTGCGTCTCAAACAGGTTTGTCAATACGTCAATGTCAATTCTCAATCATTTCAATATCTTCAATTTCAAGTCATAATTGATGTTTTTTGTAACTATTTTGCTAATCTTCATTGGCCGATTGTAGAATTTCCTAAATGCATAAAACATTAAATAGTTGAACAGCAATTAGACTACACTTTTCCAATTATGTTCACTTATTAGAAACAACAATACAACTGAAACAGTACAAAAATTATAGGTGACCCTCGAGTGAACAGGATTTAGACGATAATTATAGACCATCGACGACCTGATGGACGACTCGACGATGTCTAGGAAAACATAGAAGACACTTCTCACGTGGAAAACATACGGTGTATACTATTCATGTATTCACGTTCTTGTATTTTCTTGTTTTACACGTTTTCAAGGTACTGTAGTTTGTCGTCAACAGCCTTCATACTTCAAAACTCACTCGAAAAAGAAAAAGGAAAAAAAATAGAGAGAGGGACTGTTAACAATATGAGTTTGTTTCCCTTCAGCCTTCACGAGAAGGATGCGGTTCACTTATGACATTATCTTCCCTAAGACTTTCTTGGCTGGCGGTGTCATGAACTCCCTGTTCATGATGTCATCATCTTGTTCTCCGCCTGCTACTTGGCGAGGCATTTAAGCGTCGCGGGACGTTCGGCGGGAGGGTAAGAATGGGCTCATTGCTTGGTTGATCGCCCCGATCGTTTGGTGGCCTTCGAAGCACCTGAGTCAGCTCGGCGGCATCGACTAATCGCCGTTACAGTACCCTAGACCGGACTTGCCTGTGTCTAGGAACAGGATGAGACTGGCGGAATCATCAGAGGAGGCTGCCCCTCCCTAGGAACGGATATAAATTCTGTCAAACCGTCAAAGTAGTCAGAAAAATCAAAGATTTAC